GTGGATGTCCAGGATGTCCCTGCTGGTGACGGAGCCGATGCGCGACACCAGCGTGGTGTTGACGAACTTGAGGGCGGCGTGCATGCCCAGCACCTCGTTCTGCTCCGCCAGGCTCTTCCCGGGAACGGCGTACCTGTGGCACAGACGGGTTCCGTGAAAAATACTTCTGTAAAGAGGTTTTTTTCCTTCTGAGAAGCTGAGAGGATGTGGGCATTTGCAAGCAGCCTCAACATGGGAAGAGATGAGAATCTTGACTCCATGTTTCAGAAGGCTAATTTATTATTTTATTATTATTATATATGATATTATTTCTTTTATTGTTTACATCATGATATATGAATTATTTACATAATATCATATTATTATAACATTACATTATTTAATTATTTATATTATTTTATATCTTTATATATAATATAATTCTTATATTACTTAATTTATTAATTATTATATAATTCCATAGAATTATTATATAATTCTATAAATTATATTATACAATACCATAATATAATATAATATATTATATATCATTTAGATTATATAATATAAATATAGATTGTAATAATATCATTATCATACATTTTTATGTATATGATATAATTATATGTAAATATATCATAATTATAATATTAATATTATACTATATTAAATAGACTATTGCATAATATTATATTTATTGCATTATCTAAATATATAATATATAATATTTCATATTATTTTATATTATATTAATTATATTATTATATTATTTCTTTTATTGTGTATATATATATATAAAATATATATTGTATTAAAACTATACTAAAAGAATAGAAGAAAGGATTTCATCAGAAGGCTGAAAAGGAAAGCAGAAGCAAAGAAGCAAAGAAAAGGAATGATAACAAAATCTCGTGACTCTCAGAGAGTCTGAGCCAGCTGACTGTGATTGGCCATTAATTAAAAACAACCGCATGAGACCAGTCACAGATGTACCTGTTGCATTCCACAGCAGCAGATAATTATTTTTCAGATAAGGATTTTTCTCCTGAGAAGCTGAGAAGCCTCAGAGGAAAAGAAAATAATTATCTGTTGCTGTGGGATGCAACAGGTGCATCTTTGATTGGTCTCCTGTGGTTGTTTTTAATTAATGGCCAATCACAGTCTGGCTGTCTGGGACTCTGGTCAGTCACAAGATTTTTTTATCATTGCATTTTCCTTTCTATTCCTTACAAGCCTTCCGCTGAAATCCTTTCTCTTTTCTTTTATTATAGTTTTAATATATAATTTTCTTGTAATATATATATCACAAAATAACCAATCAGCCTTCTGAAACCTGAAGTCAAGATTCCCTTCCCTTTTCCTGGGACCCCTGCAAACCCTGCCACGTACCTGGTCTCGATGATGTGCCGGATCTCGGACAGCGTCAGCGTGTTCCCCTCGATGGCCACCGTGTGGTAGATGTGGTGGTAGTAGGATTCCTCCATCACCCTGCGCAGGGCGGAATTCCCCTTGGGAATGGCCATCACCTTCTTGACCTTGCTGTCAATGATGCTGAAATACCTCTGGTCGATCTCCTCCACCAAGGGCAGCGTCCGGCCGCGGTTGCTCAGAGCCTTCTCGTTGTGGGGGGAGATGGTCAGAGCTTTGGAGTACAGGTAATCGGCCTGCAGGATGTCCTTGTCCTCCTCTGAAAAGATCCCAAACTCGTTGAGGGCATCCACGTAATCCGGGTCCATTTTGAGGGCGTACAGGAAGAGTTTGTGAGCCTTCTCCCGCTTCCCTTGGCGCTTCATCTCCAGGGCTTGATTCAGAGCTGCTCTGGCTTCCAGCTTCACCTCTGGAATGAAATGGTAAAACAAATAACAGATAAAGGGCGGTGAGTTTTACTGGAAACCTCTGGAAATCTGGATTCCACCATCCTTGTGCCTCCCTTCCCACTCAGGATGTTCTATGAATGTTCACTGATACAAAAACTGAACAAGAACTGGAACAGAATTTGTGTTCCAGAGGTTTATGCCACGTTTCCAGGCTGAGTATGAGGCAGCAGAGCCATTCCTGGCAGCAAGTGTGGGAAGGGCAGGACCTGTGGGCAGCAGGCTCAAGGTGGCCACCAAACTGCTTCATGTGGGAGGAAACTGTTTTAACAGCGTTTTCTTGGCATTCTTTTAGGTGAAATTATAATGTTAACGTTATTATCTTGGCTGCCAACAGCACTTCTGTTTTTCCACTCAACTATCCAACGTTTTCCCAGCAGTAAGAGCTTTAATGCAAACACAGATACAGTGCTGGAATCAGAATAATTCCTTTAAGTGTTTTCCAAATTAATGTCCTGGCTGATACTGGCCATGGCTACAGCCTGACATTGCCTGAAAGGCTGTTCTGTGCCAGGATTTTGGGATTAATACTGTGTAGCCCAGATTTCTGTGCATTAAACCACCTCTCTGTGTTCCAGTTGCCTCCACAGAAGTTGCTGGTATTGAAAACACGAGGAAAAACTCTGGAGAGATAGAGCAATGCCAGCACAGGGCCCTGGAATGCAGTCAAGGAGCTGGTGAGGGCCTGCCTGACCTCGGGGGCATTTACAGCCAGTGTTAATTGCAGTTAATTGCAGTTTGTTGCCATCAGGGGTACAGGACATGGTCAGGAAGGGGGTGAAGATCTCTGGGTTGGTGTCAGGGTTGGAAGGGCCCTCTGGAAATCACTCCAAGGCAGGGTCATCTGAAGGTGTCCAGGTGGGTTTGGAATGTCTCCATGAAGGGAGAGTCCACCACTCCATGGGCAGCTGTCCCTCGTGGAAAGAGGCTGCTCCTCATGTTGAGGTGGAACTTGTGTTTTAATTTAGTGCTCCTTGTCATCACTGAACAGAGCCTGGCACCATCCTCTGGAGATGTTTGTATGGATTGCTGAGATTCCCTCCTCCAGACTGACCAGGCCCTGCAGTCTCCCCTCATCACAAAGATTCTCCAGACCCCAAATCACCTCTGTGCCCTCTGCTGGACCCTCTCCAGCACCTCCTTAACCCGAGGAATGCTCAGCCATGCTTACCTGGGGATGCTTTTCCCTTGAGCACCAGCAGCTCCAGCCCGCGGGAGGTGACGCTCAGCTCGGTGCTCTGTCCCATGATCCTGCTGATCCCCGAGGAGGAGCCCAGCCTGTTCCTCAGCAGGGACAGGCCCTTGAGCACAGCCTGGCACTGGTTGTCCAGCGGCAGCAGCAGCATCACCAGGGAGCTCAGCAGCAGCACCAGCACGGCCGCCCAGCGCACACGGAGCCACAGGGACACCCACTGCAGCTCGGGGTCGGTCGCCATCGCCACGAGGTTCATCCTGAGTCCAGCACCGGCACCTGGGGCATCTCCCCTGCCGCTGCTCCCACCTGGGAATGCACAGCTTCAGCCAGAGCTCTGTGTGGGGTAAGAGTGGGTCTGGGTGATGCGCTCCGGGTTTGTCACAGCTGTCCCTGCCACCCCCTTCCCTGCCACCCCCAGCCCCATATGGGATCCGCTCTCACATCACTCCCATGGATGCCCGGGAGCAGCGTGGGCACAAGGCTCTGCCAGCCGCTTCCGTGGGCATCACGGAGATTTTCCCGTCCCTTCCCCACCCTCCTCCAGGCTTGTGCCCCCCGCCAAACCAAGG